CTCTCTCTCTCTCTCTCTCTCTGAATCTTACTAGGCAATCCTGACCTGGAACCAACGATGTAGTTGAACTCACATAGATCCACCTCGCTCTGTCTCCCAGGACCTTTATGTCTTTTTTTAAGTTATTTTATTTTGCTCCATGTGTATGAGCATTTTCCCTGTATGTATGCTTGTATAGCATGTGCATATATGGTGCCCGAAAAGGACAGAAGAGGACAGCAGAGCCCCTGGAGCTGGGATTACAAATGATCGCCATACGGGTGCTGGGTGAACCACCATACAGGTGCTAGGAATCTAACTTAGATACTCTTCAAGAACAAAATCCCTTAACCACTAAGCCATCACTCCAGCCCCCTGAAACTGAATCCTTTTCAAAGCCAGATCTTTCTTCATTTGTAATAATTTATCTTGACCTAAAGGTATGAATCTAGTATCTATATTTACAGCATGGTCTCTTTTGATTCTCAAATTTGGTAGATTTTGATGAATTCACCATGAATATTGCTGTTGGAGACTGATGGCTCTTGGGGGTGGTGGGGTTGGGGACTGAAACCATCCTAGTTGTCCTGGAACTCACTTTGCAGACGGGCTGGCCTTGAACTCACAGAGATCCACCTGCACGTGCCACCACACCCAGCCAATTGGTTTTTTACTAGCTGGGTAAAAAGAGTCAGCCTAGGGGCTGGAGAGATAGCTCAGTAGGTAAGGGCACTGCTGCCTCTGGCTTCTGCAGGTGCCTGCACTGCAGACACACATGTACACGTACGTAATAAAGATTAATTTCTCTGTGAGTTCGAGGTCAGCCTAGGCTATGTAGTGAGTTCCAGAACAGCCAGAGAAAAACAGTGATATCCAATCTTGAAAAAAAATAAATAACAATAATTGATCTATTAAAAGAATTAACACTGAAAGTCTCAAAGAGCTTGCGCTGTTTATTGAGAATTTATTTATTTTTTTAAGTCTGAGAGTTGCTGGGTATGGAGATACATACCTTTCACCTCAGCACTTGGGAGGCAGAGGCAGCTTCTTATCTGTAGCAAGTTCCAGGCCAGCCAAGGCTATACAATAAGATCCTTTTTAAAAAGATAAAGAAAAAGGAAAAAAGAAGAAGAAAACTAAAACTGAGTGTGGTAGCACACATCTTAAGTCCCAGTACTCAGGAGGCAGAAGCAGGAAGATCTCTGTAAGTTCGAGGCCTGCCTGATCTATAAAGTTTCAGGATAGCTAGGCTGTTACACGGAGAAACCCTGTCTGTAACACCTGATTCTGTGTTACCCTCTTGGTACAGTTCACGTGCCACTGTACCTTACACGAGTTGGGCAAAGGCCTGGAGATTGAAAGAAACTTAGTTCATTCGAAAGAAGATCAGCCTAATGCCGCTTTATTCAGCTTTTTGCAAAACTAATATACTTTGGCTGCTGCAAAAGGATTACCTCCCAGGCAGGGGGGATCTGGCTGCTGCATAGGAATTTCCTCCCAGGCAGGAGGGGATCTGGCTGCTGCATAAGAATTTCCTCCCGGGCAGGTGGGAAATTACCATACCAAAGAAGAAACAATGCCCTTCAGCTAATCACCAGGCTAGGACAGAGGGAGCACAGGAGCAAGCAGGATGTTAGCTAGCTGACCAGGAATTGTTCTCAAGATGCACCCCAAGGAGCAAGGGTAGACTGGGCCCTACACCTGTCTAGTAAGAGTTTGCTGAAACTCAGCAGGAGCTGGCCAAGATAACAACACTTTTAATAACCTTGAGTAGAGAAATACAAGAAATAAAAGGCAAGAGAGAAAATCCACAGACCAAAAGACTTTTTAATTTAAAAATATGCATTTATTTATTTACTGTTATACCTATGCATGTGTGGTGTATATATGTGGGTGTGCATGTTATGGCACGTATGTGGAAGTCAGAAGACAACTCAGTTCCTTCTACCGTGTGAGTCCTAGGGATGGGACTCAGGTCATCAGGAGAGCCAAGATCTCACACGTTAACCCTCTCAACTGAAGTTTGGGTTGTGAAAGATTTGCTCCATCCTAAAGAGGAGTGGGAGATAATGAGTAGTTTTTTTCTTTTTTTTTTTTTCTGGAGGATCAAAGGAAGAGAATTCACAGGCTTGCTGAGGAGACCAGTGATGTCATGCTTCTTCCTAGCGTGCATATTGTATCTCAAATATCTAACAGGTATGAATGTAGGTAAAACATGTTAATAGCTTGCAGACATTTATGCAAATCCTTTCTTAACTACAAATTGAACTATTCATTAAAGATTAAAGCCTTGTTCTAACAGGCACTTAGAAACTGTTTATCTTATGTTCACTTATGGCTCAGCATGTAAGAGCACTAACTACTCTTCCAGAGGACACAGGTTCAAGCCCCAGCACCCACATGGCAGCTCACAGCTCTCTGTAACTCCACATTCAGAGGATCTGACACCCTCACACAGACATACATGCAGGAAAAATACCAATGCACATAGAATAAAAATAAATTATTTAAAAAACCTAAGAAAAAGAAAGAAATCATGATGTTCTGTTTAGCTGTAAGCCATAAGATACCTTTGTAAGTGTTATTCCTTTGGGACACTTTAAGAACTAACCACGTCCACCCCAGCTACTTCTGACCTCGTCGCCATCTTGGCCTCTCTCTTTCCTATCCGTCCCTTGCCGTGTGCACATGTGCTTTCTGTCTCTCTTTATGTTTGTCTATGTCTCCCTTTCTTTAAGTAATAAATGTTTAGCTTTATGTATAGCCTTATGTCCATTTACTCTGCCATCCACTGCATCCAGCCGCCTGACTCTGCCGCTTGCTTGCCCGGGGACCCTGACTCCCCCGGCCGCATGGCGCAGCCACCCTGGAGATCTTGCGGGAACCCACAGCCACTAGCAGCTGCTCCGCGAGCTGCCCGGGACATCCCATCATCATATTATTTTTAAAAAAGAACAATAGTAAGTTTTTTGGTCTGGCTAAGCAAGTTTTAAAGTGATATTCTTTTTCCGTTAGTGTATCAATCCCATGCAATTGAACATTTCTCTCCTGCCTACCAGTTTCCAAATAACAACTCAGAGGCTGAATATGAATTGTAAATACTCAGCCAAGAGCTCAGGTTTGTTACTAGCTAACTCTTACAACTTAATTTTACTAGCTAACTCTTACAACTTAAATTAATTCATTCCTATTAATCTACATTCTGCCACGTGGCTTTTACCTTATCCCATTTTGTATGTTCTACAAGTTCTGTGTCTGGCTGGCGATTTGAGACTCTGTCCTTCTTTCCATCATCCTTAGTTTGATCACCCTGCCTATACTTCCTGCCTGGCTACTGATCAATTAGTGTTTTATTAAACCAATTCGAGTGACAAATCTTTACAGTGTACAAGAGGATTATTCCAAAGCAAGTCCAGATTCTTTAAAACTTTATTATAAAAAGCATTGCAAAAAAAAAAAATCACACACTGAAACGAACTAGATCCAAAGAGTACACAATTCAATGAATGTTCATACTGTTAAGAGTATCCATTCAAAAGCAGAGCTGTGGTGTTTCAAACTGGGTTTTCACTTTCACTCTCAAGCATGTTTTTATGCACTTATCCACTATTGGTTCCAGAGGCTTCCTATCATCAGCTGCACCCCCACCTGGGGTTGAGAACTGAGCTCTGAAGACTCCTATCTGCAGAACGGTGAAGTGTATACTTTGTTAGACGCATGTTTTCATGGAGTAGCCATCACTAGAACAAGTGTAAACACATTCTAAAATCCCCTAATTGCTAAATCAGTTTCTATTATTATTATTAAGACAAGGCTTTGAACTAGGGGTAATCCTCCTGCCGTCTGCTCAAGCACTGGGATTATAGGCATTAGACACCACCACACTTTTACCAAAATTAGTTCCTAAGTAGTTAACCAGCAGGAAAAGAGATAAAAAACCATCCTAAACCCAGACAGCTGTATCTCCTGTCTGGGCTCATATGCTGTGTGCTAAGGTGGGTGTGACTAACGGCAATCTATCTTCCAAGTTATCATCAACAGAGGTTACTCTGATTTATGATTTTGGACTTCAAAGCTGAGAAGCAATGCACACAAGTGAGTTAGCAGAGTCCTTGTTCTTTTCTGAGCCCCTCTTTCTCCAGCACTAAATACGATGTAGGCTCACTCGGTTTTTGTATGATTAGATTCAGGGACTGATCAAAGGGAGCAGCCTATACCACACACTTCACATAGTAGGAGGAGGGATTTCTTCCTGCAGCAGGCTCCCACCTCATACCAAGGACAGTCAGATCCAGTTCTATTCTTCCCGCATACCGACCAAAGCCCCGGTTCTCTTCGCTGACTGCTCTGCTGGGTTCTCTACATGTTTGCCGAATTCATTATCTGACTTCACGGCACAGTGATCGTATTACCTTGCTTTGTACACCTATCCCAGCCTCCCTACAAAGTATGAATCAAGGAGATCATTCGCCTGTGGTCTTCCCGGGTTTTAGGTCTGAGACCTCAGGAAGTTGAACTGCCACGCACGGTCAGAGCAAAAGATTTTAAAAGTAAGAGCTAGTACGCCATCAGCATTCTTTGTGTGGATGAGGCTAAGAGGACGTGGGCCTTAAAACTAAGGTCCTCTTTCCCAATCTCGAACTCAAGGTTAAGTTGCTTTTCTTCCACACGGTCGCCCCAAAAGTAACCAAGGTTTCTGGAATCGAGACTTCGGCCGAGGCACGCGCTCCCGGAAGTCAGCAGGTGCACAGACTGATCAGGTGTCTGTCCTCCCAGTCGGGTCGGCAGCGCACGCCGACTTGCTGACTCCAAGTCTTCTACCGGAGTAGCGAGAGACCCAGAGCCTCTCCATTTACCAGCGAACGCCGCCCTCGGGCTTCAGGATCGGCACTCGGAACCCGCGAGGATACCGCCGGATCGGACTACATTCCCCGAGAGGCCCTGCGCCGGCGACCGCTGATTGGTTGATTCGCCGGGCGAGGGGAGGGGGCGCGAGTCGGGGGAGGGACGGGGAGAGACAGGGGGCGCAGTGTGCGCGTGCGCGCGGCGGGCGCAATGGCTGCGCTCAGCGGACTGGCTGCTCTTCGTTCGGGGCGCCGTCTGTGGAAGCTTCCTGCGCGCCCGTCTTCAGGGCTCCCAGGCTGCTGGCTCCGGAGGGGCTACATCGTGGGCCGCGCTGAGGTGAGGACGAGCAGGTTCGGTCCAGCGCTCTGGGCTGGCGGGCGGGAGAGCTGTGCGGGCCACTGAGCATCCTGGCCTCGGGGACGCCCTCCCGGAGACCGTGGAGCCGCTGAACCCTTCGTCCTTCCCGGAGCGCCTTCTGCCCGCTGGGAAAGGCGGTGTCCGGGAAGACCCATATGGACCCCAGATCAGCCTCGGGTGGGTTCGCAGCTCCTTCCCGCGCGCCAGGAAAGTTTCTTAGCAGTTAATTCGTTTCTACTGTTCGAAGAGCCCGCGGAGTCTTGTTTCTGGAATGTGACCGGTACACTCTGTATGACTCAGTTGTGCAGCCTTCAAGGCAAAAGAAGTCATTAATTTTATTATTATTATTATTTCTGTGGGTGATCTATACGCGGGCACACGTGTCGGAGGTTAGAGAACAACTTTGGGGTTCTCGCCTTCCAGTGTGTGTTCTGCGGTTGGAACTCATGTCAGGACGCTTGCACCGCATTTAACAGCTTAGCCCTCTTGCTGGCCCTTAATTTCTTTTTAAGCAGTGTGAGTTTCTAAATATAAAAAGAATACGAATCCCATATTTTTATCTTCCAAATAACCAGTCGCTGTATATTGGCGCATCTGCTTATCTCTCCCCTTTTGTGGCTGTGAGACTTCAAATCCCGGAGTTTTTATCATTTCAACCCTGAACTCTGTGTGGGCCTCCAAAAAGGACGTTTTGAACAAAATCACAATGCTCTTACCATGCCTAACAAATGTCAACTTATTTTGAAATTATAAGTGAATGGATTTTTGTTTGTTTGTGTGCGATGTCTCACTATGTTCCCTGACTGACCTGGAGCTCACTCTGTAGACCAGGCTGGCCTCAACTCTTTGATGATCCTCCTGCCTCTGCTTCCTAGGTGCTAGGATTTCCAGTAGGTGCCATCAGGCAAATGGGATTTTAAGCTTAAACGTTCAGAATGCTGTTGCCTGCATCCAGAACAGTGCTCCCTGAGTTTGCAAGGGAACAGAAATAAAACTGAACTGCTAAAAGTGACAGATTTTCCTTTCAAGAGTCGCCACTTTCTCAAGGGAAAGGTCTGCCATATTTCCCCCCAGCCTTGCTTTGGGTCACTCTGCAGTCATTGCTGAGCACACAAAGGGTCCTAAGCACAGAGCCAGTGTTGTTCATGGCAGGTGTGTGGGGAGATCATGTCCCCTCCACTGTTCAGACCTGTGTGCTGATTCTCTCTGAGGAGAGTAAGATGATGAAATCGGAAAAGAACTCTGGAAAAATAAAAATGCCAGGGCTTGCCTGTCAGTGGTGGTGCACGCCTTTAATGCCAGCACAAGGCGGGGCAAAGGCAGGCAGATCTCTGTGAGTTCAAGGTCACCCTGGTCTACAAGAGCTAGTTCCAGAACAGCTAGGACTATAATGCAGAGAAACCCCTGTCTCGATAAACCCAAAAAACAAAAAAATGGGGATTTTATGACCACTCCGGAATCTACTACCTAAGAGCCCCAGTTTAGGACTCCATTAGAACGATCCAAGAGGAAAGGAAGGGCTGCAGGGATACTGGGAACCAGTGGGTGTGAATTAAGTATGCTAATTGCAAGATGTATACTGACTATTGGGTAGAACAGACCGAGCTAGAAGCTGACAGTTGGCAAGGGAGAGTGTGTCCAGGCTGAGATCTCTGTCCCATCCCCCCACCCTCCCACCCCCCCATTCTTGCTTGCTTCCAGGAACTGCCAAGGGAGTAGGAGTAAGGGCCCTGGACTTGCTGCTAGTTCGTTCGAAGTGGAATTTTGGACCCAGAGTTGTAAAGCAGGCTAGGAAGCCTTTGGCTCATTTTCCTTTCAAAAGTTGGTTCTTTGGTCAGGGGAAAGGAGCTGAGAAATGAGCTCGGGCCTTATACAAGTTATGTTTGGCCACATTTTTCAATAGCTACTTTTTTCTTACACTTTTGTAGGACAGTTTTGCTAGGTAATACCTCATTTGAAGATAGACACCGCCTCACAGTTAGATAGAAAGAATAGATAAAAATGTTTGTTATATATCTGGCTTGGAGCCCAGTATACTCTGCTGGGCTAAGGTGCTAAGGGATCAGCCTTGAAGGCTTTTGGCCGTAGATTTCCTGCATGCATGAGAGACTTGCTAAGTGTCTCTGGCTGCTTTTTTCTAGTGGGCAGAAGTGATGGTCTTACTGATGTGGTTGTTATTGCCTGCTTTTCCAGTTTTCCTGCCCACCTCCTGCTTGGCCCATGGGCTAAGCCTGTGAGACTGTAAGCTAGGTAAAGGAACCAAAGAACCCTGGGAGCTCATACCACTCCCTGCTTAGTGGGAGGATGGGAGCTCACACCTGCTTAGTGGGAGGAA